ATGTTGCTTTGCATCTAGGAGTGACAACGCAGTTAAAGAAAAATCTCTTCTGCATTGAGGGAGGGGAAAGACATGTAAACTGGAATAGTTGCCCTTAGTAAGGTGAAGTAAGAGTTATATTTATTGGATCAGAAGGCTTTGGGCTGTGACTCACATTTGCAGGCAAGTAGCGCAGTGGCAGTAGTGATTATACATCTCTCTGCCTGCTCTGCCTTCTTACCATGACCATAACAGGGTTTTCAATCAGAAATGTGTTTGCAGCCAAGCGGCAGTAGTTGGTAGGCTAGCATATTAATGTGAACCACGGTAGATTTGGATTGCTAAGCAGTAAAATGTGGGGGAGTTCAGTGTATTAATCTTCACTGCTTTTCTGCTTTTATGAGCTTTTCTGCGAGACCTTCCCAAGGAATCTGTGCTGTATTGCTCTGGCCATGTGGCTGGAGCAAGGAGACACCAGATGCGTGTGGGGGTGGAAGGAGTTAGGCTGTGCCTTTGCTGCCGGTGGGTAGGGTGACCAAGAGAAGGTTTTGTGAGATGGTGCTTTCTGGCTCACTTCTGCACCCTGACTGCGTTGTCATGTTGTGGAGGCAAAGTGCTTTGTTCCTCTCTGTGCGGTGCGCGCTCTAGTCTCTGCTGTGGCAGGATCTCTCGATCGCGTTTAACAGACAGGAGCTCAGCCAGCCCAGCTTGGCATAAGCTGGCGGTCAGAGCAGTCAGCTAATGTAGGAGGAATGTGTTGTAGCGTTATGGTTTCAAAACATTTCCTTTTGGCTTCTATGTGTTCCATCCACTTCCATTGCAATGAACAGCTTGAACGTGCTTTCTTAAGCACAGATCTACTTTTAGGGCTGATGCAAAGCTGGAAACCTGCAGAAGCTGCATGGCAGGGAAACATTTATCGTATAAATCTTATCCCTTTATTTGAAGGGGAAAAAAAAATCCATCCCTGTACATCTGTCCATGCAAAGATGGTCATACTGTCTGTTCCTTGCACAGACAGACCAAGAAGGGTTGAAGGGATACTTCTTGTACTATTCCTGACATCATATTGCTTTCACAGGGACCAGTAGAGTAAGGCTTGGAATTAGCTTTTTTTTTTTCCAAAGATGCAGGTATTGCTCACTACAGAGCTGTGCTGGGCAGTTGTGCATGGATTAGTGCAAGCAGCCACTGTGAAAGCTCCACCTGGCCTACTCTGTGCCAGCTGTGTGAGTCCCTGATATTCCTGGGGGAGTTGTGCAGAAGTGGTCTGAGCATCCGTATGAGAGGTGGGAAAAGAGAGCTGTCCTGGGCATTCGTGGTGGTACACACAGAGATAGCAGTAGCCCGGCTTGGAAGTGCCATCACTTCCAGACGAGAGGGGTTTATGTGTGGAGGAGGGAGATCCAAGGCAGCCGTTACATAAACTCGTTAGACAGCAGAATAGGGTACCTTGTGCATATATATAGTGTGCACCAAACCCAGCCCTCTTGGGCAGAGAGCTCACTTCATGTGTTACAGCTCAGAAACTGTTTTTATGACTGGGCTATAATGAAAAATGCTGACTGGGGATATTACAGCTCTTGCTGTTGCTCCGTGCTGCGTGCAGCAGCACGGCAATTCCATGGAGCTGAGGAAACAAGGTCAGATTAAATGTATGTGGAGGAATTTGGCAGGTCTCCTTTGTCTATAAAAGCAGTTGAAATTCTTATTCTTGGATCTGGGTAGAGAAGGACTGGTGGACAGTCCACATACCTCCTCATGCCTTTTTAAATAACTGCACTGGAAAGAAATACTGGGAAGTGCCAGATGGGCCCTTGACATTTTGTTTGTCACGGATGGGTGGAGACATGCATAGTGTTCTTTTGATTAATGATAACAGAGATCCTCCGGCTAGAAGGATGTTTGGCTGGGACCATGCACAGGACCATAAGAGGAGGAGATGGGCTGTCTCATGAGTTTTGTTTTCACCCAGGAGAAGATCGGCTGGCGTAAGGAGGCATCTCACTTGCTGGTCTTCACGACAGATGATGTGCCCCACATAGCCCTGGACGGGAAGCTGGGTGGGCTGGTCCAGCCGCACGACGGCCAGTGCCACTTGAACGAAGCAAACGAGTACAGTGCGTCCAGCCAGCTGGTGAGGACAGCCCCAGTGTTTGCTGGGGCACACGGTGGGCTGGGTGCTCGGAGGCCTCCAGGTCTCAGAAAATCGATCCGCTTGCCTCTCCAGAGACCACCAACACCATACTCCAGCAGCTTTTGACAAATGTCCTCATGCCCTTATGAGCATGATTTCACCTGGTCCTTCAGTTTGGAGTTAAAATTCGCTGATCCTCTCGGCCATCCCGCCTTCAGTGAATGTTCTTGTGATGCTCAAAAATGAGTTCAGAGCAAGTTTCTTCTGGATTCGTTTTCGTGAGGGAAAAATAACTTGGCATCCTGAAGTGCATTAGATTGGCATGCAAAGTGCAGAGAAAACATAAAATACGTCACCCTTTTTTAATATGTCCAATAGATTATCAGCTTCTCAGTGGGGAGGTGGAGTCTACCTTGATGTGGCTGCAGTAACAACTACAATAGGATGCTGATTTTATTCTCAGCCTTTGAGCACAATACTAACATATATCTTAGTAATAAATAGACAAACTGACCCTTTTTTATTTAAACTCAGTGAAGGAAACTTCTGAGGTGAATGAGCACTTGTCTGCTGCTTAATTATCAAATAATTCTGCAGCATGGTGCTTTATTCAGCAGATCACAAGGCCTAATTATGATTTTTTTGTTCCTGAACGTACATCACCCCATAATGGGAGGTGTTCCTGGATGGCTGCCTTAACGGCAGCACGCTAGACTCCTTGGAGAAACTTCTAATGGGCTGTTGAATTGTAACAAACCTATTCACAGCCCACGTACTGACTTGGTGGTGTCCTTTGGAACGTGTATGGGGATACCGCCTTGGCCTTTCCATGTTTGCTTCTTGGAGGCTCTAAATCAGCCTTTCAGTGTGCAAGTAAACTAAGCTTTTTTTTTTTTTTTTTCCCTGAGGACAGCATTTCAAAACAAGCTTTGGGTTTAAAACCTCCAGCTGGTCTCTTGAGAAGTGAGCCCTGGTTCTTTTTGTTGCTTGTGAGTAGTTAGAACAACATATTCCCACCATCCTTCCTCTTTACGAATTCTGCAAAATTAAAGTGCTTATCATAATCTCTTTATGGCTTTAGTGAAAGATCAGACAATGGATCTTTCTACTTTTGGAGAAAAACGGTATATTTCTACTTACTGTAGTTCTAGCTAATGGTCTTATCTTGCATCCCTGAAGATAGCAGCTTACACATGCATTTGCTGATGGCCAAGTAGAAAGAAAAGAGAAAGAAATTCAGTTTTGGTTGCTGCTGTAGCTAACTGTGGTGTCACTCATATGTTCCGGTAGATAGGTGCAGCTAGAAGGATGACAGAGGTACAGAAATGTTTCTACCGTTTCAGTTCTGATTGTACTGGTATGTTAGGGACTTTGTATTGCAGTGAAACATGACATGTTTCTAGAATGAAATTTGCTGTTGAGAGTAGAAGAGAAATGAAATTGGTCTTTGTGTTACTCATCAGTCTTCTGGCCTGTTTTTGCCTCTAGGATTATCCTTCCCTGGCGCTTCTTGGGGAGAAACTAGCTGAAAACAACATCCACCTTATTTTTGCTGTTACAAAAAGTCATTATGTCCTGTATAAGGTGAGTGGTGCTGAGCCACCCAGGCTGGAAAGAGATTTAAATGCGTCTTGAAAGCATCTTCCTTCTAGCACTGGTGGAATGGAAACAGTCTTAAGTGTACATGAGCAAGGCCACAGGCTGCAGTAGGAGCTGTCAAAGAAAGAAGTTTTTCCCAGGCTAACCTCACCAGTTGTCTCTCCCTGCTAACTTGCAGAGCGTTGTTATTTCAGTGAAAAGCACTAAAGCTTCTTAAAGTAAATAGATACATGTTAGTGAGCATGTTAATACCTAAAATAGACTCTAGTTTAATCTTGATTTTAGGAGAGCTGCCAGCCATGCAGCATATGAGAGAGCAGAAACCTGTTCAACCCGTTCTGCTGTGACTTAATCCCATTACCTAAGTGTGTGTGCAGTGTTTCTGCCCAGCTGTGTTTTTCCATCACTGCGTCCAGAGCCCAGACGCGCCAAACAGTTTGAACTCCCTCACCATCCTCAGTCTCCTCTCCAAAAGGAAAAGATTACCTGAGCCAGAAGCAGTCGAACTATTTCTGGGTTTACTTCTCTGCCTTTGTTACTTCTGCAGAAGTGGATTTTGTGAAAACAAAGTGGAGAGGGGAGATGTTTCAAACGAGAGAGCTTTCAGAAATGTCTGCTTCCAGCTTTCAAAGCTCTATACTGCACAACTTGAGCAAAACAAGCAGAAACGTTGCTAAGGTCGAAATCCTAATGCTAACCCACAGAGAGCTGAAAGGTTTAGGTCATTCTCCACACCCTCTTCTGCGGAAGCTAATATGTCAATGAGAGCGAGATTGATGAAAGCCCAGCCTCGCTTCCCAAGTTGCCAGCTGCCCTGAACGCGTGCAAATTGCACCAATGCAAATTTACTGGATCTTGCCCCATCTGGCAGGGGAACTCGGCTGATGGGAACCACAATGGTCGTCATTAGTCCAGTTCCCTTGGCTATGAGTTTTGTTTAGCGTTAGACGTTGTTTAGCATTAGAAATGCTTTGCTTTCAAAAGCTCCACATTAAAATGAACAAAGTTGTGTCATGTACATTGATAGATAGATAATGAGGCACAACTTGTGTCCTGTGTCCCTGGCAGGCAGGCAGTGAGGTCAGTGCTGCAAGGGTGGATCTGAAAATACACTTCATCCTTATGCTCTCTGTACTCCTATGTGAATCTCAGTGTGTTTTCTATTTGTTTTCTTTTTAAGAATTTTACAGCATTGATTCCTGGAACAACAGTAGAGATTTTACATAAAGACTCCAAGAATATCATCGAGCTGATAGTCAAGGCCTACAATGTAAGTTGCTCTTTAATATTACAGCTGCTGCGTTATAAAATGCCAAGAGCTTAGCTAGCTCAGCTCTCCCTTGCGCACTCCACCCAGGTTTGGCTGCCTCTCTCCTCTGGTCCTCTGTATTGCAGGTCACCGTCAGAGTTGTTGCATCCACCCTGGGGAGGGAAAGGAGTTGCTTGTCGTATTTAGGATGACGCTGGTGTTTGGGCTGATTTTGTACTCTGTCTGCCTCAAGTGCTCACTTGGGCCCTTGCTGGTGTGGCAGTTGAGTGCTTCACAGGTCCTTCCTGCGTTAACCACTTCAGTAGCTGTGTGAGGTGGAAAAGGAGAAGAGATGCCCAAGGAGGTCTGCAGCAAAGCAGGGATTTAACCACACCTCTCTCATATGCAAGATTGCCCTCTAAATGCAATCCTGATGTAAAACATAACTCCCACAGAGTGTGCTAATGTCTTCTTTGCTATTCAAAGTCCAAAGGCCTCCCAGGGGCCTGGCTGAGCTCCAGCTAAGGTAGCTTCCCTGCGTTGGTCTCAGCGCAGTATGAATCAATTCAGAGCACTCTGTGACAGTTGATATTAGCATGTGCCTTGGCATCCCAAAAAGTCACTGACTACACAGAGTTGTCAGCATAATCTGTTGTTGGGACTCTGAGGTATAGGGCAGAAGTGAAAGGATCTGCAGTTGTACTGCTAACCTGATATTATCACCTCTCTCTCTGTGAAGACCAAGGAAGCAGGCCGATTAAAAGCAGCGAAAAAAGCAAATTAATTGGCTAGTTGCCAACACTTCTGTTGTCTTTTCACTGGATTCCTATGGCTCAGCTCTTCATGCCCCTGAAAGGTATTGCTGTTTGATTGTTGGTATGTGACTTCCAATGAGCACGCGTGGAAATTTATCTTGGAAATAGTTGCTTCTGCTTGTGGTTCTTTGGCTAAATTGAAATGCTGCACTTTAATCAGTCATCAAGTAGCGTTTTCTTACATGCAACTTATAAACACAACTTTGCAGCCACACTTTCAGTGGCTGCAAACCCTGCTTCTTGGAAGTATGATGGTTAGCGCAAGGGAGTGAGGAACGACTTCTTTGGAGGAGTTTATAAATCCAAAGGCCATCTAGGATTGTGCTGTGCTTTACATGACATGTAACGTTCATCTTTCCTTTCCCCGCAGTTCCCCACATTTAACGCAGCGTTTGGTTATGCCCTTGAGAAGATCACTTCCAAAACCTCTGCCCTGAGGAAAGGCAATGACCAGCTAATGCTGCTAATGAGGTGCTGAGGATGCCATAACACAAAAGGCCTGTTGTCCCAGCTTGTCCTCTTGAGGAAAGGTGGTCTTATAGCTAAAATACTTGGCTGGGGAGGAAGAAATGAATGTTCACTACACATTGATTTTTGCATATGGTCTTAGTGACATCACATGAAAAACCTCCTTTTGTCTCCATATCCTGCCCATAACATGCATCTGTGCCTTCATTTCATTACTCTCCAAACTTTCTCAAACAGGTATAACCTGACAAAATCTGCTGGGAATCTGATGCCCCCATTCCTGCCCCGTCCCCCTCTTTGCTTCTGAGTTTTCCAGTACAGCTAGTTGGAAGCCATCATCTGAAGAAGTTATGCGGGATGAACTTTTGGGGGTTGGCTTTCTGCCTCTTCAGCCAGTGGGCAAGCAGGGCCCAGGGGCAGCCTGCCAGGGCTGGGACCCTAAGACCTCCTGCTGGAGCCTGGCAGCCGTGGGCTGTGTGGCAGGGATCCTGGAAACCTGGCACGTGCTATTTCATGTCCTTTTGGTAGCTTTGTTTTTTCCTGAAATTGAGGAAGTTCTCTTTGAGGGAAAAGGCTGAAATTTTCATTTCCCAAGTTGGAAGGAAGCCATTCTTCTTTCTCATAGAGTGGAAAATTTGAGCTTGGAATAACTCGGTTCTTCTGTGACAGGGACCGTCTTCTCCTGTGGGGTGACAGTGGCTCATGCTGTGTGGCCCAGGCTCAGCCTCTCTCTCCTTGAGGGCTTTAGCAGTCTCTCTCATCCTCTCTTGTCTACTTTCCTCCACTGATGGAGGATGTAAAGCCATGGATTTAGCCTGATGTCTAATATGAGCATATATGCTGTAAAACGGATACCCTCCTGTGAAGGTCTGCAGGGCTAGTTCTCTCTCCACCTCCCTAGGCTGGCACAGGCTCCAGCAGGATTTCTGCACAAACAGGCAGGGTGGATTTGGACCGAAGGGAGCAAACAGAAGGCAGTTTATAAACTCACTTTCCTAAACCTAATCCAGAAAGGTCTCAAATATGCTTCTTCTGTTATACCACCAGTAAGTTTCCCTTGGCAGCCGGCCTTCACATCAGGTATCCCTGGAGCCACTGTTGGTTGAGGATTTCCTTGTTTTTACACTGAAATGTTCCATTCTTTGATTTCCCATGTGCTATAATGGACAGGTTTACTTCAGGGAGGCCAGTTGCTCTATCAGAGGGCTGGCTGCTTCCTCTCGGTAACTCCAGTGTCCTTTGCTCATCCCAAGAACGAATGCAGCTATTCTCCCTTGTCTCTGGTATTCCCGAGAGAGTGAAAACCACTGCTGCCGTCAGGCTCCAAAGCCTGCCCGCAGCGGGTAGTGGGGCTCAGCCCCAGCACAGACAGCAGGATTTTGTCTTCTAGTAACCAGCAGAAATGGGAGCTGGCAGGATGGGCAGAAAGGGACACTTATGGGTGAAGGTGGCATAGAGAGAGGAGTTTTTTCCCATTTTGGTTGCAGAAGTCTGCCATAATTAGAGGCCTGATTGTATTTAAAGCTTTTGTCGGAGCCTGTGAAAACCAGTCTTGAGTGAAGTACTGTAAAATTAAAGGGACTGTGTCTTGCTCATGGCTCTTCCCTGGTTCCAGAAACCACATGAGAGCTTGTCCTAAGCAATTTTGGGAATTACTTAGTCTCTGTAGATTACAGGTAGATGAACACTTTCAGAAATGTTTGTTGGTAGATATCTGGGGAAACTGAGGCATGGAGTGGTTGTACTGATGTACCCAAAGTGGCATTTGATATCAGAGCTGACAATAAAATCAGGCTCTAACGCAGAGCCTCAGCCTAGTGTCAGCCTGGTTATGTCTTCTGTACTACTGCCAGATGTAGGAGGTTCCCAAAGATGTACCCAAGAGGTTTTGCTGATCTGTGTTTGCAGGAAGACAGGTGCAGGGCATGCTTCAACTTTCCAGAGACCAGAGACTGGACAGTCCAAGTGGTTTTCTGTATTTTGAAAACAGTACAGAATTTTTCTCAACAATTGCATATTTGGTTCTCAGTTGAATCTGGCTTTAAATTCTGTAGAAATTCTGAAGTTTTCTTTACCGTTAGTAGTGGCTGGGTGCTGCGAGAAGAACAATTGCTGTGTAATGGTGCCAAGCGGCTAATAATAATAGCATTACTAAGGCTAATAAGGAATCCTGGCATCCATATAAGAACCTAAGAACGACCCATGCAAGGTCATACTGAAGTCGAGCTAGACTAGTGTATTGTCTTCAATAGTGCCCCAAATCAGATGCTCTGGAGAACAATGTAAGAAATGTGGCCAGCAAAAAAATGTTCCTTTCCTACTATGCCTCTGCTGCTTCAAGCGACTGCTTATAATGCTGATAGATAAATATTGCAAGAATGCTTCTCCAGTCTGTTTAATAGACTCGGGCTTGATAAAGTGATAAGCCAGTGTATTTCCCTTACAGATAATTAATCTTCCTTTTAGATTACACATGGCTGATGAAGTTTGTCCAGATCAAGAAGAAGAGACAGTGCATCATTGTGACAGCTCTATGCTAATTTCTGTGTGATAAATACTAGGCAGAGCTGTGGGTGTACGTGCAGTGTGTTCAACCTTACTGGCATGTGCTGCATTCAGCCTGCACGCAGCAGACGCTCCATGTATATGGCCTGAAATACGAACCCGTGAACCTGCAGTCCAGACCCCAGGCAGGAAAGGCTTTCCTGAATTCCAGCATAAATATGGGAAATTATTTCTTTTCCTCCAGGGTTGTATAGATTTGCCTGGTTAAAACACATTCTCCGCTTCTTTCCAAAAGCATTAGCTCTTTGCTAGCATCAGTTCTCATCGTGAACAGTGGCTTTGTCAACACACTGACTGACAAGAGGTCTGAATTAGCACTTTTTCTCACTCTGGCCACTTCAGTGAGGGAAGAGACAAGGGAGAAAGGGATGGAGCAGCAAGCTAGGTTGGAAAAAAATGTGTTTATGCAACCCCCTCCCCCCCTTTTGGAAACTTTTGTCTTTTGTGGACACCACTTCCAAAATATCAATACCAGCCATTGGTAGAATTAAACAAAACCACTTCATTCTAAATTAATGTTTATAAGCAAAGTTTTCCCTTTGTTTTCTTTTGTTTTGACTTAAACTCTGGGTTTTGCAGAGTTGGAAAACTCTCTAGGTTGGAGAGATGAGAAGCAGAAGGAAGGGGGTAGAGCTTCTCAAAACCTAACTGGTGAAAATAAAAAGGTTGGGGAAAGCTGGTTTTCACCTTGGAAGGGATACTTTCTGTCCGGCATTTTCTGTTGAGAGGGAAAATGTTTTTCTGACTAGTTCTGCTGTGTCAAGAAGAAAATGGAATAGAATTACTGAACAAGTCATTCAGCCTTAGTGAAGTTCTACACCTTCGTTATGCAGCATGAAAGACATCACAGGCTGGACACCAGTAGAGAATCAGGCTTTGCATTTCTCTAACAAGACAGTTTTACATGGAAGAGGTGCGGGTATTCACGCAAGGTTCAGACATTCGATACGGAGATAAAGCAAATGCTCCATCTGCAGTCGAGAATCTTTTTTCTTCCTTGCGCGTATATATGCTTTCAGATCTGGCTGTACTGGTCACCACGACTGTCAGAGTGCATAAACTATCCATGGGTATTTCAGCCCAATTCTGTGGCTTACTATGCAACAGTAGGGACATGGTATTACTCTATACACACTCAAAAGTGTTCTCAGAAGGGAGAGCTACGTGAGGGTGATTGTTCTGCTGAGATGAACGTGTGGGTCAGGTGTTTGAATAGGCAGCTGCCCATAATTGTAGTTATGTTGGTCAGAAGTATCCTGAGCTGCTGGAATCAAAAACAAATGTCGGTTTGTGTGCACAGGTGATTTTTTTTTTTCCCCCTATAGGTGCAAAGATGTCCTAACCACCTGCAAATATCAGAGAGGAGACCTGAAACAGAATGACATACAAAAGAAATCTGCCTGCTCTTAGTAATCTAATGGGTTTCTTCTCCATTGTGTTTCTAGAGTATTCGGTCTAAAGTAGAACTTACTGTTTGGGACAGTCCTGAGGACGTTGGCTTGACCTTCACTGCCACGTGTCAAGATGGTTTGTCATATCCTGGGCTCAGGAAGTGTGGGGATCTCAAAATAGGAGATACGGTGAGTCTGGGTTTCTGTATGTCCCTCAGAGAGGCTGTAGTAAGACTCTGTGTGATCTTGGAGGAGTGACTTCCCCTGTCAGTGAACGTTCCCTGGTGATAAAAAAGAGCAGTGTTGATCTTCCTCTACTAGCCTGAAAATCGTGCTACATTAACATACCACACTGAAACAAACCCACTGAACACAACTCTACTAAAAGTGGCTCTGCATGAGATAGATCAATCCAAGGTCAGTTGTTAGCCCAGAAAGAGGGAATACGAATGTCTTGGTTTAGAGTACCATGAACCAAATGCTTTTGAGCAATTAGTAGAATGTAATAATCAAGAACGGATTTTTTCCGTAATCTCAGTAATTCACATGTGAACTTTTGTTGCCATGGTCTCTTGGTCTTTTCCTGGTCCACTAAATTGTCCAGATTTTCTTCTTATTGTTTGAGGATTTAAGTGAACAGTTTATGGTTAACTTCTGAGCTATTGCAAAAAAAAAAAAAAAAAGGGCATTCAGAAATATAGTAACTGTTCTCTCACTTAGAGTTATTAGATGGCAACACAGAATCAAACATAGTTTGCCCCTTAATGTTAACAGTATACATGACATAATCTGTCTTGTGTTTTTTATTAAAAAAAAAAAAGGCAAGTTAAGCTTTGCTTGTTCAAATGGAATAGTGATACAGATAAACGAGTTGCTGGACCCCGCTCCAGCATTTCTTTTTTTTTTTCAGGTCATTTAGGGAGATGCTGCAGTATGATCTACTATGGGAAAGGGTAAAAAGAATGGAAATTCTGGGTCAAATTTATGGCTGGCACCGGAGGGTTGGTTAGTGGGTGCTTCTCCAGGTGGCAGCAGGTTCTGCAGCTCAGCGTCTCCTGGGGGGAGGATTGCCCTTTCCCACTAGGAAGGACCCGACTCGGTCCCTGTCTAGTCTTACCTTAATCTAAAGAGAAAAGCAGCCCCTCACAGATAAATTGTCATGATTTAGTTGCTTTGAACTGGGTGTGAGTCTGTCTTGCCAGCAAAACAGGAGGGTGCGTTTCAGATGGTCACATTGTCCTCTGGTGTAAATCAGCACCGAGCACTGACCCACTGAGGTCGGCAGAGCCTGGCCAGTTGAGGCTAGCTGGGAGTCCCGGCCCCTGTCTCCAGGACTCTTGCTATTTGCAAGAACGTGCACGTGAGTTCATTGGCAGCGTGACTTCCTTGTTTTAAAAAAATGGATTCTTCCTGAGTTTAAAAACAGAGTCTATGGTCTAAGCACTTAAGTGTATAAAAATAAGTTTGAAAGAGGAAACAAACAGGAGCTGAATTCTTACCTCTCTGCATAAGGACTCTCACAATATGAAGCGTTAAAAACGGAGGTGGCGTTTTTAGCTGACTTTATTGGCTTGGTTGGTAAAATCATTTCCTGAAGCTTTGCCACGGTAGTCATGTGCCCTCCTTGTTTCCACAGCAAAGCCAGAGCCCCCAAGGTATCAGAATTAATCTGTTTGTTGACCTTGGGCTCTCAGGTTTGGCATAAGCGCAAAGGTCACTCCAGCTGCTGTAGCTTGTGCTGTAGAAGGGGTTTGACACTGGCTACGTGTGTGCCCGTAGCAGCGCTCCGCTCGGAGGCCGGCTGGGTGAGGAGCACAGGCCCCAGGGACAGAGGGAAGAAGCAGGGTCCCGCAGGGTGGGCTCGACTTCTTGGCTGTGTAGAAGGATCCTGCATGTTGTCAGAGTTTCAGAAACTTGATCTTCTTTGTGGAGTGATGAAGTAGGGTGGAGAGCGGTCCGCATTCATCAGGGAGAGTTGGAAAGGTCTACTCTTTTCATCCTGACGCCCTCCAAACACCTCATTGGGCCTTTTTTCCCCGTGTTCTTGTGCTGCTGCTTCTCTCACCTCCTGTGTTCGTTCCTGGCTTTCCTGGCTGTGCTTTCTCTCCTGCTGCCTCTGTCCCACAGACTTCTCCTGTCTCCGTTTCTCTCCTGGCTCCTCACCACCGCTGCTTCTATACAGCCCAGTCCTTGAAGCACTCTGCTGCCTGCAGGATCACTCCCACACTCCCGACAGCCTCCTTGCATCACGCATCAGGTCTGTTCTGTGTTGCTAGTAGTGGAAACACAGTATATCAAAGAAATCCTTTGCCCCATATACTGGGAGAGGTGGTTACGTGCTGTAGTTTCTTCACGATTAAGTGTAGACATCCCTCCTGCAAGATGTTGACTAATAGAGGGGCTAGGTTAAGTAATTTTGTCATTAATTCTATAAAGAGGTAGTGGCACCTGCTTTCTGGATGAATTGGGGTATCTTTAGGACAGGTAGTTGATGCCGCTGCATGCTTTAGGATGCAGACGGTGTGCTCGGACTAGGTACCTATCACGTTTTAGGTGTCTGCAGACGACTGGCAGACATGACACAGGATCACAGGCATCCTGGTCCTCTGGAGCAGTAGCAGGAGGCCTCCCGCTCCAGTCAGCTGCTCACGGCTCACCGATTCCACAAGGATCAAGATTTGACTCCTGGGAACTGTTAAGAAAGTGTCCCCAAAGAGGATAACACTGGCTCCAGATCCTAATCTGCCATGGTTTAGTCCTAGAGGTGTGGGTGGCAATGCATGAAAGGGAGCAGGATTGCACTGATCCCCTTAGCTTGCTTTCTGATCTCATTATCCTTGGTAATTTGAGGGTAATTTTTGTCTAATTGCTTCAGGTCTCAGAAACTGAAGGGAATCAGGGGAGCTGTGATGTCAGCGCAGCTTCTGCTGGGCGGAGGTGGCCGCTGAGCTGCCATCTGCACGCTGCCTTTTGGCACGCAGAAGCAGAGCAGGCTGCGAGGGAGCTCAAGGTGACCCCCAAGTGTCTTCAAATAAAAATCACTTCATCTTGACGCTTAAGAGAGGGGCTTATTTAGAGGTCTGGAATAAGGCTAATCTTCTTTCCTGTAACAAAACGGTTTGCACTCATGGTCTTAGAGCGTTTTCTGCCTACCTGTTTGCAGAGGATGTAGAGGTGCGCTTGGTGTTTATCTGTGACAGTTCTGTTTTCAGCAACACAAGGCCGCTTTAGCCAGCCTGGGGAGCCACACCAAAAAGCAAGGTTAAATGAGGGGCCAGGCGAATGGCTGTCAGATGTTTTTGATTTTCCCAGGGAGAAAATCGCTAGCACTGAGTAGCAGCATCAGAAAAGGGATAGGGGAGAGATGTATAAGCAAAACCAGAGGATGCGCTAAGCAAAATCCTTGTGAAGCCCATCTTAACAAAAGTGCCCATCAGAGTATCAAAAATGGAGTGTGGAAAGTTTAAGACTGTATGAATAATGCACATTTCCATATGCAGATCAGGTTTCCCATGAAACCTTCGGATTTCTTGATCTTTTAGGCACAGGAAGTCATTATGTTCCATTCATTTGACCTGTGATTGTGCATGGTTTCAACAAAAATTTTTGTTCTTGATGCCATGAAATCCTGACTACTTGCTAGATATTTGCCCCGATTCTCTCATTAGAATAGACAGGGTGCTCCAGTTCCTGCAGCTCCTTCCCGCTTCAGAAACCAGTGATCCGTGATGGAGAAAATTGCTGCTAATGGCTGGTGACTGTAAGAAGTTGTAAAACTTCTCTGGAATGCTTGTGGTGTCTTTTAAAATAAACCATCCACAAAAGAATAAACATCTTGGTTAGCGGTTGAGGATTTTTGCGCTGTGGGAGATCAACAGGTGAAATTTGTTAGCATCAGTTTTGATTTTAAAAAGCTTCGTTGCAAGTAACATTGCAGCATGTTGTTCAAACATCTTAACGGGAAGCCGAGGCATTTTATAATTAGTACAGGGTACACAGCCTCCAGTAAAACACAAAGTGAAGCAACACAGCTCTGTGTCTTCTTCGGCTGATTTTGGACAGAGATCAAGTCATAGAAGCCTACAGTTTCAGGTCTGGAGCTCCATCCCTGCATCCGTTTCTATTGGAAAAGAGAGGAAATTAGGATTTTTCAGAAAAGTGTCAACCAAACATTCTCTGTGGGAATTTTTAGTTTGCTGGGGGAGGAACGGAAGACTAAAGTAAAGGGTGTAGGTTAGTGAATCTCACATATGGATGCAGTAAATGAGCTGGGATTTGGGCATGAAGGAAGCCACAGGCGAGGGTGCCAGTGGCGAGGCATATGGGGGAAGGAGAAAAGGGACACAGACCACTGTGAGTCCTCTGAAAGCTGGAAGAGGAACTGGCCATTGAAGGACACCTGTCAGCGAGGGGGGAGCCGGTCCAGGAGAAGGCACAGTTTTGGAAGCCAGTGCAAGCCAGTTTTACAAAGGCCATGGTTGATAGGTGACAGACTAAGGCTTTTTGCTGCAGGTGTTTGCTGAAAAGACTTAACCAGGAGGAGTTTTGGTGTGAGGTTCCTAAGGAGGGTTAAAGAAGTTAAGAATGACTTTTTAGGCAATAGCTGGAAATGACAAACTCATGAAGCTTTGAGAGCAAAGAAGGAGCAGTGGAGCTGACGATAGACATGGAGACAAGGTGTTCCTAAGACAGAAGGGACTAAAACATGCTTATACTTGGAGAAGAGGTGAGAAATGAGAGGAGGAAGCGAGAGGCTAAGGGGCAGGATAAAAGTGACCCCAAGGAAATCAGAGTGGGACAGGATGGCGTCTCCAGGGTAAGCAGAAAAGAGGTGGAAAAGAAGGAAGAGAAAGTTGCAGGAGGGAAAGGCAGAAGAGGAAGTAAAGCCAACAGAAAAGAGAAGTGTCAGCATTTTATCAATACCCCCTCAAAAGGAACTGGAAAGGTCCAGTAGGCAGTTTGCAGGGAGGAATTGAAGGGGAGGTCAGAGGTGTCCAGGGGACAAAAGAGCCTCTTTGGTGGATAATGCAGAGCCCATCTGATCTAGCGAAAACCTTCCCCTCAGACTGAAGTGGACTCTTGTGACTACACTTACTTAACAGAAAGCAAAAAACCCAGATGGCTGGCTGTTCTTCCTTAACATTTTCCTGTTTATGGCTTTTTTTTTCTTTTTTTTTTTTCCCTCCCTCCCCTCTGTATCTGTTATGTAGTTTGCTGAGATGAAACATCTGGCTTGTTCCTGTGCTCTTTCCATTTGGGTCATGTGGTGTTCTGGTTTCTGTTGTTAAACTATAAGGGGACAGGAACGGATTTAAGGATGCCTAAACCTCATGCGATGGGTAGTTTTCAGTATATTGAACTGCAGATATCTTTGTTAGGCCCCAAATTGTTTTGGGTATTTTTTCCACACCTGGGAATGAAACTTGGCATACTCAGGGTGGCACTGCTCAGCAAAGTCACTGCATGGTTTTTCATCAGTACATTTGCCATTTCCTCCTTCTTTCACTTACCAGCCTTGCTCATTTGCTGCTGCTGAGCCCATGGCCCCACTGAGGACTAGCTCTGTAGGCCCTCGGTTGCCCATGTGCTGTCTCGTGTGAGGGCAGTGGCCCTGAGAGGCGAGGTCAGCCTTGCCTGATGAGATGCTCTAGTGCAGGTGAACAGCCTAGAAGAACCTCTGCTGGGCTTTCAGGTGGTATTTTCTGGGATGGAGAGAAAGGTTTGAACTTCAAACCCCCAAAGCTCCTGTGGGCTTTCATCTCTTATGCATGATTGTGTCATGGCAGCGGCTGAGACAATAACCGTAAACCATCAGGATTCACCAGCCATCCGCTGGAGGAAAAGCAAGGAGGTGTGTTGCCGCTGCAGATAAGTGGCAGAGCTCAGGACAGTCAGGTGCATCCTCCTCTCGATGGCCTTCTCTGCAAGGCTCTGCTGTTCCTTGAACCCCAGCGAGGCAACCTGAGTGACGTGTTCGTTTCTCTTTGCCTCAACTTTCCTCCTCAGGTTTCCTTTGAGGTGTCAGTGGAAGCCCGAAGCTGTCCTGCCGAGGACACCTCCCACATGTTCACTATCAAGCCTGCTGGGTTTCGGGACACACTGGAGGTCGTAGTGACTTACAACTGCATTTGTGGGTGCACTGGCCGCGCCGAGCAGGAGAGCAGCAAGTGCAGCGGAAACGGGACCTACGCCTGCGGGCTGTGCGAGTGCGATCCGGGCTACCTGGGCGCCAAGTGCGAATGCGAGGAGGGTGCCAACGGGAACATGTACCACAACATGTGCCGGGAGGCGGAAGGCAAACCCATCTGCAGCGGGAGAGGGGAGTGCAGCTGCAACCAGTGCGTCTGCTACGAGAGCGAGTTTGGAAACATCTATGGGTCCTTCTGCGAGTGCGATGACTTCTCGTGTGCCCGGTACAAGGGTGTCCTCTGCTCAGGTAGGCAGCCTTTGCCCCTTTCCGCGCTTCTCTTTGCTCATACTGAGAAACCGCCTCAAGTTTGCGAAACCCTTTGCTGGCGTGGGTGGGGAGCACTCGTGGCCCTGGTATGTGCCCTTTGTGAGGTGCAACGAGGGGCTGCTTTCAAGGGGCAGCCCTTTTTTTTGTTCCCCTCTTTTTTTTTCCTCCTGGGAGAAAGAAGAGAGGGAGGTTTTAAGAGGAACTAATAAGCAAAAAGTGTTTTATCCCTATCAGAACTGGGTTTCCAACAACAGGATAAAAGGATCTGTCCTTCCAAGCTTGTCTGTTGCCCAAGATGCAAGGAGATGAGCAGAATGAGAAGTCTTAACTCTGGTGTGATTATTTTGAACTCAGTATGGATAACCATGCTCGTTTCTTCTGTGCTGAAGTCTATCCTTAAGAAAGAGGAAGCCACCACAAGCTTGAATTTGCTGAAGCTTTTTGGTGACTTGTTTGGTTGGATTTGTTCTACGTGTACCATCCATCCCTGCGTAGATAGAAACAATCTTTATTAGGTTAAGTGCTTGAAGTAATCCACTGGTACAACGCAAGTGAAAGGAAAGGGGGTGTTCATCTGTCGCTTAGTAGAGAAAATTTGTGCTGAAGCGTCCTGAAGATCTCTCATATATAGATTTTTCTTCCCACTGGTAGAGATGTTGCTGGTCAGTTTTGCTTAGGCTAAGGTAAAGAATATTTAGTCATGTTTACTAATACAGCTTTACTTCCTCGACAGTCTGAGGTCACATCATTTACCTTGCACGTATGGCCTGGATTAGCCCTTGGGCATAATTCCTTCAGTTGGAGCTGGGGAAAATGTTATTCTTTAAAATTTGCCTGTTTTCAAGCAAATGAAGTACTTCATAAACTGAAAATCTCGGATGAAATTTCCAAGATCCCGTACAGTTTTTGTGGAAGCTCTCTTGCTGTTAGGATAAGCTTGGAAAATAGCTATTTTTCACTTGTTCTCTGGGGAAGTGGAGGTTTTTTTTCCCCTATTCATTTTGTTCTGCAGTTTTTGGAGTTGGGTGATAAGTGGTGGGCCAAGTTTTGGTTGTAAATTTCTGGCTGTTTGAGACTATTAGTCGAGTAGAAGACCTTTTTGCTCATTTTCCTCAAGAGTGGCTAGTAGTGTTTTTGTGCTGTCTGCGAGTGAGGCAGGCATCCCCACACAAACTTTTGGCAGCAATTGGAAACAGAGTCCTGGGGCTCCCCGCTGCAAAGCAGTGAGAAGGCCATATATCAGCTCCCGCGATGGCTCTCCAAGACCTGGAGGACTAGTAGCTGTCTCTAAAGATGCAGGAACGGAAAGAGGGGTTCGTAAGCAGGAAAAAAGCTATTTTAAGGTACCTGGGGGGAAAATAAAGCCAGCTGTGGATGTAATTGAGAGCGGTATTGCCTGGGAATTCTCTATCCGACTATATTGTTTTCATAGCATCATTCCACCAAACAGTTGTGTTGGCTCCTTTTGTTAGCAAACCAGGCAGTGATGCTAAACAGAGGTTGGAAGCTACTGGTGTGGCGGTTGGTACCACAAGAGAAGGACGCAGCTTTCACTCGAGTTTCCCATCAAAAGAGCCAGATTTCTGCTGATCCACAGGAAAATAAGTTTTGTAGCTGCTGTTGTACCTGCTTGCTTCTTTCCCTGTGGAGGACTTCTGATTGTGGGAAGACTAGAATAGCTAGTTTGGGATTGGACAGAGTTTTAAAGTCATTTAAAAGTCCTTTTTGTAGCCTGCAAGAGTAGGCTGAGCCCCGTCTTTTCTTCAGGGTAGGATGAAGTCTGGCAGGTCTGCATGGGGTGGTGTTATTCTCACTCTGCTTCCTGATATTTCTTTTGTTGTTGTTGTTGTTTTTTAAACTCCAGCAAGTTCAATGCTAAATCTGAGCTGTAGCAAGCACTGTGCCAGTGACGTAACATTTTAAGCCCGTTTTGTTCAGTCTGCAAGGCTTTGGTGCTTCTCCAGCCCACAGAGTGCGTCTGAGGGCCTGATTTTTGTGAGCGGGGCTATGTCATGCTGCACGCAAAGAGGTCCAAGCACGGAGGGCCCTGCACTGCCACAACAAACGGCAATCTCTTATACAAGCCCTTCTGTTTTCTTCCGGTAAAAGTATGTTCTCTCCTCCCTACAAAACGGTGCCTTGTCAAAGAAGACTGTGCATTTAACTAGGCACTGGGTTTCTCAGTCTACCAGCATGTATAGATACTTCAGAGGCAGTGGAGTTTGAATCGCATGTTGTGTTCAGGAGCTCCTCTGGGGCCATTGCATGGGGTAGCTTTTCCATTTGCTACTTTTGTTCATGCAACGGGAAGAAAGGACTTCCCATATGCCCCTTCTGTGATCCTCTTTGCGCAACTTCTGTCTCTGAAATGCTCTGTCTTCCTGACACACACCCAAGCGAGTGCAGCTCTTGTAGACTCAATCCCATGGTGAGGAGAGACTCAGCTAGGTTTTGCCAAATGCAGAACTGAAAGAGCAGCTGGGAAGGAACCGTTATTTTGCTGGCAGACCGCTTTTCTCTCGTTCTGGAATTGCTTGGTGTAGGTCAGTAAGAGGAAACTCGTCAGGGTTGTCAAGGATTTTATTTATGCTCTGCGAATCTAGAAGATGCTTCATGCCTCTCAGTGAATTCCAATTCCCAGAATTTCAAACAACATTTTCAGCCCCAAAGAACCCAGCCTGAATTTAAGCACACTGGGTATGTGTCCCCTCTTAAGTGCCTTTACATCTGCCCACGCAGCTGAACAAGACAACACTATGAACCATTTAGTGCACATCCCGGACAGAGCAGATGAGAGAGTAACCAGTCCAAACTGACCAGAGCTGTAGGGAGCGATGGAGGGAAGAAAACCTTATTCTCCAAGCTGAGAAGTGGAAAGCCACACACGCACGCAAATGACTTTTCACGTACGTGGTCAAGCCTTTTGCATGCCTCATCTCAGAGGCACTTTGAGCCCCTCGTTCCAAAGAACCATCCTTGGCGTTTCTTCCTTGGAGCCGGAACGAAGCTTGTCCCCGTTGAGTCACTAGCACAACATAGAGCTCGGAGGCAAGTTGTTCTCAGACATTACATATTCCCAAGTTCTTGCCAATGGCTGCAGCTTCTTTGATTTATTGCAACTGTAAATCCAGACCTGCTTTGCTAAACTTGACTGGTTTTGTTTGTTTGTTTTTCTTTCCTCCTGAGGCTCCAGCTTAAAGGCAGTTGGTTGGGTTGTAGTTCCCTCATCAGCCGTCTCAGACAGGAGCATGAATGCTGGCTTGGGACACTAGAGGAACAAATCCTGCTTTTCCCAGGGCTAGGATACAGTGCTATTGGCAAGCTTCAAATCACCGAAGCGAGCAGCTGATGCTCTGGTTTACAAAAACATTTGTTGCCTCAGAATAAATCTATTATATAGATCAGAATAAATGCCTCAGAATAAATCTATTTTATATAGTCTTAGACTCTGAGGCACTTTGATGGGTTGAGTGCGCCTCTGCTTCTCAGTGCTAATGCTGTTAATATGATAACTCCCAATAAAGCAAACAGCCAAAATCACAGAGGGTTTTTGTAGTCTGAAATAAACTTTGAACTTCTTGTCTGTTGGTACTCAGTCCTTTGGCCAGCAAGGAAGTTTTCATTCCCAGCTTCGTTTCTAAATACTGGCACCTCATTTTGTCAGTGTTTCAGAGAAGAGATGACTGCAGGCGTTGCTGCCTAAGGTTTTTTTGTCTTTCGTGGCCCACACGAAGTAGAGAAGCAGATTTTAAGTGGGAGCTTAGAGGCAAGAATTTTATTATTCCGGGTCAGAAGTGGACCCAGAGAATTTCAGCTCTCTTGTAGGGATGGCTGTAGGCCTGCATCCGTTATTTGCTTTGTTAATGTGAGATTTAATGTGCATTCTGCATCTGTGAGAAAGGGATGGGAAAAAAAGTCATTTATAATACCTTGTAAATGTTGATTAAAGCGGCATCCAGCTACTAATAAATCAGCGGCGTTTGTTTTTTTGCTCCCTAAATCCAGTAATAGCTCCAGAATAGCTATTTCAACCCATAGTTCAATGTCTTTTGGAAGGGACATACAGAACAGCTTGCTTAAGTGCTCTGTCCCCTAGCCGCTCCAAAAGAGACAGGTTTGTGCCTATTTTTCCTTTGAGGAATGAATGGGTAATACATTGCAATATGCGTTTTGGCAAAACAGGAAGTCACTTTCCAAACTCTTGAATGCTTTACTCAGAGTTTTTCTCCAGAAAGAGCATCGGATTGCCCGCATGGATTCAGACTGGCTGCTGTCGCTGCATGGGAAGACAGAAAAGTTTTTGAATACTGCGCATAGTTGCACTCCGTGTTGGGAGCTTCAGCACATTACTCTGGCTTTTGCTCTGTAAAATGTGAATGGCTCTTAGAGAGGAAAAAATTCCTCCTGCTTTGAGCCTGCAAGACTGATGTCATTTGCAGATGGCTGTGTCCCAGTAACTTCTGAACCGAAAATGAACCGCTTGACTGGCTTCCAGTGTATTTGACAAAGCAGGAAACATCTCAGTGCTAATTGCATTCCTAAAGGTCGCATAAAACTAGGTAGCTAGAGAGAAAGAGGCCCTGGTGAGAGCATCACACACACATTTGCCTCTAATGAAGAGAGAGGCTGATCTGCTGGAGGCCAAGCTTCATTAGTTTTTGGGGGGGAGGGGTGTTTTTTGCTGTGGGTTTTTTTTTTTTTTTGGAAGTACAGCATCTTTTGTGTTTTGGTCGGTCTAGTGAAGCTTCTGTTAATCATCGTTGCTGTTAGCCTGGCTGCGCATGTGGGTATAATTTGTGAGTTCTTCAGCCCAGGACTGTTTCTTTGTTTTGACTGCAAAGCAAGATTGCAACCTCTGAGCGCTATCATGGTGTACATAAAGAACAAGTACCATGTTCTGAACTGTTTCCTCTCCTTTAAAAATCTTATCCTGACAGTCTGTGCTTAATGAGCAACAAAGCAGATGATTGCTGATTTCA